ACCTTGCTTTCATTGCTCGCATTCCGTGGCCGTAAATGAACAGCGCACCAATGTTTTTCTCTTTACGCATAACTGACATGTGCATCGATAAGTGTTAGCAACGAATGTCATACGCGAAATGATAACATCGTGCAATTAACCAGGTTCTAAATAAACTTGAGTGCACAGATGGTGCGTAGAAATATAGAAGAATAAGATAAGAAACGCGCGCGCATACTTTGTATACCACAATTTTCTCTCTTTAATTAATTAAAAAGTAGAAACAGTTGAATACTCATTAGCGATAGTATATTCTTTAATTTATATGTTTTGTTACTTGTCTATTTTATATATTATAAATTTAATTTTTTATATACACTACTTTATTATAGTTTAATTATTATTTATTTTATTTTATATTAATTTATTTTCTTTTATTTCTGCATTATTTTATTTATTTTTTATTTTATATGATAAAAATATGTTCTTCTTACCTTAGCCAGTATTGGTCAATTGATATCTTTATTTCAATATTTCAACTGACAATTGGATCACTTTTTTGTTAATTATTATTATTATATGTATAAAAATTTCTCATAATATTATATAATGTAATATAATTTAAATTACTAATTATAATGATATATATTAATAATTTGGACACCTCTAATAATATTTTAATATATAAAATCTCTAGTATTACGTAACATGATTTCTTGTAATTAATATAATATTTAAAACACATTTTTCTAATTTAAATATCAAACAAATTCTCCTATCATTATATTTTTCCATCATATTAATAAATTTTCGTTGCCAATCAAAGTTGGAAGTACGAAGCAAATATCGATGACATTGGGAAAAAACGGTAAGCCTTTAAATCCGTAATGTGAAAGGATATCGCGTTTGTGAGTCTTGGAATTTGATAGAAAGGATAGATTAATGTGCTGAGAATTAACTCTTTTATTTCATTTCATCATTTGTATTTTACACCGATTTTTAACGGACTTTTTTATATCGCGCTCGAAACTAGTAAATTACCTTAATCAAGGTAACACGGACGTTACAAAGTGATTTACGAAATAGGGTTTATATCTTAAATTAGTCTTACACTTGTCTTCATATTTATATTGTGCCTTGTTATTCAATCCGCAGAAAGCAAACGATTAATTTTACAACATTTCTTTTATATACATACCGCGGAATATTTTATGATACATTTTCATTTTATAGTGTATTTTCAAATCATTCTTTCTCTGAAAAGAATTACTTGTATACAATAATTAGGAGAAGAACATATTTTTATCATAAAAATAAAAACTAAATGAAATAATGCAGAAATAAAAGAAAATAAATTAATATTAAATAAAAATTATTGTACAATCATTAAAAGTTATTTAAAATAACTTATTAAAAAATATTTTAAGATAAAAATTATTGACATTTCTGTACAATGTATCCATGAACTTTCATCAAACATTCTGAAGATATGGATCATGAATGACCCATGGTGGAGATTAATTTAATTTATACGAATCTCAGCAGCCCGTATCATATGTTCGATGACAGGACGACGCAGTCGATGGAGATTTCATAATATTATTCTCTAAATCTCGGGATAAGTTCTCGGAGTATTACGATCGATCTCTCGGTGCGCCGCGCAATTTTTTTCTCGGATACATTTCCTCGTTTGTGAGAAATCGGCCTAACGAGAAATAAACGAGGAGAAAGAAGCGGAGCTGGGTTCGCAGCTGGCGGAAAGGATAAAAAAGACGTAGCCGAGATCGTTTTCGCCAGGACTTTCAAAGTTCATCGAACTTTCCATCCAAACAAAAAGCGAGACAGAAGAAGCAAATAGGATTGTAGGACGAGCAAAATGATTAAAAACGCACGACTGATGTAAAAGCACGTCGAAACGGAAGGCACAATCCAAGAACAAGTTGAAGTTGGATGGTTGACGTTTCGTGCTCGGGAAGGAACCTAACTCAGCCTAATCGCTTCTTGGTTTCGAGAGGAATCAGCGGATCGTGCAATCAGATGTTGAATTAAATTATATTCTATTATATGGAACGTTTATAACGCTGATAAAGATCTGGAGTGCAACTTCCTGTCGGTCATTATGGCGAATATTTCGAGCGCAGTCGATATTTCCTGAGCGTTATAAAATAATCCGATCGCTCTCAAGCGGCTACAGACAGACAGCCTGATGAGAGAAGGATGAAAATTAACCTAATTGTAATTGCAATCACGGTTGCCATTTGCGGCGTACTGGGCGTCAGCTGATCATAATGATCCTGCAGCGAAATTTTTCTTCCGTTCGATGTGTCAAATCAAGAGATGCAATTTATTATTATTATTATTGCACGAGTTGGTATACGCAATAATTAAGTTTGATCGCGAGAAAGATTAAGTAGATGATATAAAAGATGTATAATATAAAAATGTTAATACAATAAACATTAATAAAATATAAAATTAACAAAATTAAAAATATTATTTTTATATATATATATTAAATTATAAGATTTTGTATATTAATATTTTTGTGTAATTATCGTATAAGAAATGTTCGTTTTAACCTGTCGCTAATAAATCACGTTGCTCGATTAATTTTTTTTCCAAGAGTAAATTAAAGAAAGGATGCAAGAAGCATAAGACTTTCTTATAGCGAGGTCTTAAGAAGGTCATTGGTATTTTTTTCTCACATTTTCTATTGTGTTTAATTATATGCAGGAACAATGAATCCGTTGATTGGGATGAATGGGGTAATCTCTGTTTATGATTATTAAAAAACGATAGAACAATCTTTATCGTCTCTAATCATCAACCCTATGTAATTGCATTGTTGCTTCACGAAATAATCTAATTATTATCCAGGAATTTTTTTTATAATTCACCACTCTTACCTTCCATTTCAAGATTTACAATTTCCACATTTTTAATTTACATAATATTCTCGCTCTTTTATAGAGTTCAATTTCTCAGGGAGAAGAATCGACTTCCAATGCCATCGCCCCTCGTGCATAAGTTGTGACTTATGACTTATGACAGGTCACCGTCTCGCAACAAGTGATATCAACTTAAGACAGAATTATATGATTTTCTGTTTGCATTTTTTTTTCCCACTCGTTAAAGACAGGTCCCACGCGAACTGACCGTCTGGTTCGCACGAGGTTACGCGCGTGCGCGCGTGTATTCGTCTACATCTACACCACACGCGTGAATGCGAGTGCACGTGCACCCTCCTTCTCTTCCTACCCTTCTGCCGCGTCGTCGCACTGAAATTAATAATGGAGCGAGGATATACGCGGTCTGCGCACAATCATACCTCGCGGAAGCACGCACCGATCGTTCTACCGGGTGTACTCTTTGAGCGAGAACGCGCTTATCGATGAAAGACCAAACACAAGTGCATCCTGCAAAGTTACGCAATTTTCTTTCTTTTTTTTTTTTTACACGCTCAATTTTATATCGCGAGGTCTTCGGAAACACGATCTTCGAATGTTTTTTTGTATCTTTTTCCTCTCCTTTTCCTAAAATCACACAGTCGATCGCGAGAAGATAATAAAGAGTAGCTAATAAGCTTCGCGACAGGTGACAATAATAATAGGTGTGCTTAATTGCCCCGACACCTGCATTTTATAACATAGTATAACGTTTAATAACGTAATTATTAGTTTCGTATATTATCGAAACGAGTTATCGTTTAGAGCTCTAGATAAGTGTTTTGGTTTTTGTTGTTTAACGAGACAGTAATGTCGGAACAAGATGAGATTTACATATTAGTTTGTTATTTTGTATTATTATATAATTGATGACCGAATAGATATTTTCGTACACATATTTTGATAACTCATTATGTAAAAGGTATAATTTTCGTACGATTTCTTCCTGCATAAAGGTTAGGCTCCTGAATCCTCGCCGCGGCCATGTTGGATTGTGACGTCGATGTGAGGAAGCACACGCTGAAAATTTTGAGATGCCATTTTTAAATGGAAAGAAATTTCAATGAAACACTATTTCAGATCGCTTCAGCACACTTAAAAACACCTTGAAAACTATCCATGTTTTCACATTTCTGATAAACGGCATCTAAAAATTTTTAACGTGTTTTCTTGCTTCTGACGTCACAATTGTAACATGGAGGAACCAGGAGCCTTAATCATTAATATTCATAATCATTCGATTTATTTTCGTTGGTTTCATCTCGACCTAATTAATTTGTTGCAATTGTTCTAGAATTTCGCGATATATACGGATGTATCATAATTTAAAAATTTAAATGTCTGAACCAATGTTGATATTCTCTACTTCCGGCAAAGTAGTGTATGTTAAATACATCGTTTAAAGTAGGTACACCAAATTGGGAAAATTTTGTGTTACAAAACCAATCCGTCCCCTGAAGATTTACACATACATATAGTATGAGATGAAATATAAATAAATCTAATCAAAATCGAATGACTATAATTATTACAATATGTATATAAATATATTTATCATACGTTTATCAATTAATTGACATCAGTATAAATAATATAGATTCAATTACGGAGAAATAACTTACGGATTTAAGTATAATTATTCAAGAATCGACGATGTTATCGACGTTTTTAATCTCTTCGGAGAAAAAGAGAAAAAAATCTCTGATAATTCGAATTCATGAATTTGACAGGTAGCGTCGCGCGCAATGAATCAGCTGATCGACGCTCGCGACGACGCGACTCATGCAAAGGATAGAGAAGGTGGACGCGCGTATGTACACATACATCACGCACGTGGCTTCACACGTAGAGTAGAGCCGCCTTACATTTATAACAACGTATCCTCTCCTCATTCACGTTTCGTCGCGTTTCTTTCGCGAGGGTGGAAGAGAGATTCTCGAGGGTGAGCGCGCGTAGTCGACTATCGATTGGCCGCGATTCTCGACCAAGAGCGCCAGCGCCAGACGACGACGAAGTGAAGAGGGGAAATCTCGCGCACGTAGATCTCTTTCTCTTTTTGTTCTTGACCTCCTGCGGGAGAGGAGCGCCGCGTTCGCGTTGATATCCGTGGGCGGCGTATCGTGTCAAGGAGCCGCGAGGCCACGATTCTCACCCGTCACGAGCCAGAGACGACGGTGTGTCACATCCGACGCGAAATCACGTTTTTTTTTCCCTTTCTTTTTTTTATTTATTTTACGAAACTTTCCGCGACCCCGTTATAATGCGCGCACTTCACTTTCAAAAGCTTAACGAGATCGTTTATCGAGATTTTATCGTTCGTAATGCGAGAATTTCTATGATTTCTTTATTTTTGTATTCTGTTGAATCGGTGAAAATGTCACGGATTGTGGAAGTGACGCAAAAAATTTTACCGAAGAACTGTAAGTGCTTCCGTCTGATTATGACAGTAAAATTTTATTAAAAATTAAATATTTGCATGTGATGTAACTTTTTACAAAATATACACATATAGTATAAAACACATGTAATAAGTAAAATTTAGAATATATATATACAGTGATTGACAAAAAAGAGATTACCTTCCATTTTGTAATTTTTGTTTCTAAAAACTATATAAAAATAATACAATTCGAAATGTTTTTAACTCAAATAATTCTTTATTAACTTAATTTTTAATATACATACCATATGATGTCTCTCTTTCTCTTTCTGATAAAAACATATATATTTATATGTTTGATATTTTTAAGGAAATTTGCTGCGATTCTCGAACAAAGGAAATAATATGATAAGCAGGTAAATATAAAAAAAACACTGAATTAAATTTTATAACACAAAATGTTTATTTCAAATCGGAAAAAGAGATTACCTTCCATTTTGTAATTTTTGTTTCTAAAAACTATATAAAAATAATACAATTTGAAATGGTTTTAACTCAAATAATTCTTTATTAACTTAATTTTTAATATACATATGATGTCTCTCTTTCTCTTTCTGATAAAAAAATATATATTTATATGTTTAATTTTTAAGAAAATTTACTGCGGTTTTCGAACAAAGGAAATAATATGATAAGCAGGTAAAATATAAAAAAAAAACACTAAATTAAATTGTATAACACAAAATGTTTATTTCAAATCGGAAACAAATTGAAACAAGGCATACCTTGGTATTAGCTCATCAAATCTGTCGCTCAGTCTCGTATTTCGTATAACATATCTGGGACATCTCCTTTCTTGCGGGCTTACCTGTAATCAGAAAGCACAAAAATTTATATTATCAAAAAATATATATACATAAATTGAATTAATTCCTTTAATTTTTTTCCGAAGATGCAATTCTCCCTCTTATTTTATTATTATATTGTATTTGTTAAATCTCTCTCTCTCTCTCTCTCTCTCTCTTTCTCTTTCTCTCTCGATAATATATCTAACTTGCGACAGATTCGTTGTACGACATACATGTCACGCATGCATAAGTCGACATAAATCAAAAGCGAGAAGCAGCCGCGTGCAGCCTGATAAAATTTTCTCCATTAATTTCGTGTCTCGACATTATCTTAGAGACAATACACACACGCGCATTTCCTCTTTCGTCGGTGTATTTAAACGACATGGCTCAGGATTCTTGCACGATGCAATTCGTATGCATCCTCACGAATATAATATTATAAGGAAGAAGCCATACAGGTTTCGCGAGTCACCGTGAAAGAATTATAATTAAACGATGAGGTATAAAAATTTTTCTAAAAATAGGGAGCAATAAAAATTTTAAATAAAAAGGTAATTAAAAAAATTGCATATCGTCGAGTAGTTATAACGTGACAGATGCTACAATAGCACTAGTTTCTATCAGCGTTGTGCTTAGATGATTTTAAAATTAGTTAGATAAAGATGAGATGAAATATGTAAATTCATCTTAGATACGATAATTTTATGTTTAAATATATCTAGATAAAAGACAAAATTATATATGGCGATTTATCTAGATAATTTTCTAGATAATAATTTTTAAGACTGTTATATAAACACAGTCATAAAAAATGTAAATTATAAAAACGATATAAAAATATATGTATTCATATTATTTTATTTATAAATTTTTATCGCTTACTGCTTAAATTCTACCCTAGTTTAGGTATTTTTATGTGCTATGATTCTAAATCAAAATTATTTGAAAATTATTCTAGCTAATTTAGTAAAGCTAATACTTTTTTTCATCTAGATGATCAACTATATAATTTTATTTAGATAACAGCAAACACTGATTTCTAACATATATCTTCCATATATCCTTAACGTGTGCTTCCAGGGAGGGGCATAATTAAATGTTTTTTGTTTCCTATTATATTATTCTTCCTTAATTTTTTAAACTCAATTTTTCAATTATTTCTTATTTTAATATTTCATTATTTCATTTTAATATTTTTATCCAGCACACGTATCCCGAAGACGTTCACAGAACATCCTGAGGATGTCCTTCGAATACCTTTCGGATAAGTTGTGCCGTGCTATTAGGAATATTAAATAAAATTGCAGATAAATTCCAGTGTTTATTCACAAGGAGAGTAAATGCTTAATTTTTTTACTGATTAAATTTTTTCCCTATTATATTATTCTTCCTTGGTTTTTAAACTCAATTTTCAATTATTTCTTATTTTAATATTTTATTTTATTTTAATATTTTTATCCCTAACAGCACACGTATCCCGAAGACGTCCAGAAACATCCTGAGGATATCCTTTGAATATCTTTCGGATAAGTTGTGCCGTGCTATTAGGGATATTAAATAAAATTGCAGATAAATTCCAGTGTTTATTCACAAGGAGAGTAAATGCTTAATTTTTTACTGATTAAATTTTTTCCCTATTATATTATTCTTCCTTGGTTTTTAAACTCAATTTTTCAATTATTTCTTATTTTAATATTTTATTTCATTTTAATATTTTTATCCCTAACAGCACACGTATCCCGAAGACGTTCACAAAACATCCTGAGGATATCCTTTGAATATCTTTCGGATAAGTTGTGCCGTGCTATTAGGGATATTAAATAAAATTGCAGATAAATTCCAGTGTTTATTCACAAGGAGAGTAAATGCTTAATTTTTTACTGATTTCAAGAGGGAGCAAATGCCCATTCTTGTCCTCCTCTGTCCATGTACCCACACACACACACACACACACACACAGAGAGATCATTGCTCTAATTATATTACGACGATAGTGAGATGAAAATGCGAGAGAAACAATGCGGCAGAGTTACGATGTGAGATAATGCGCGACACAATGGCTGGGGAGTCCTTAATAAGGCGACTAACTCGCGGACGATCGGAGGAGAATTAAAGTGAGAGGCGCATTGTGATGGTAAAACGCGTTCATTGAAATGGAGCGAAATATTAAAAGCGATCGTCTCGCGTCTTGTCGAGAGAAAGAAAGAGTAAAGAAGAAGAATCATCCCATCGGCTCTCTTTCTCTTTCTCCATCCTTTTGCCCGCGAGTTCCTTTTTGTACTTGCGAAACTTTTGCATGTGAAACGACAAGCACGAGGGAAGAAAGAAAAGGGAGTGAGACTGCGATCTTCTCGTCGGAATAAAACGGGTAGGAAAGAAAACGGGAAAACAGGTCTCATTTTTCAAGCAGCAAAGAGAAAGAGAGAGAGAGAGAGAGGGATGTGCGACAAGCAAACCCCGAAGCTTTTAGCCATTCTTTACATAGCGTACGATTCTACGACGATAATGCGACCTTTTTTTTCTTTTTCTTTTCTTTTTTTTTTTTTTTTGATTGCCACCACTCGCTCTCTTGGTGCGATAAAAAACGAATGTTCCGCTATGCAAATTAGATTCTATGCATCCAATTATCTCTCGAAATGCTCGAGATGAATTACGAGAGAGCGCGGGCAAATTTATTTTCGCGATGCGACTAAAATTACCTTCTGGTGTTTCTGCTGAGGAATAGAGGCAGACGCTCTTGCTTTTTCCTTCGATAAATTATAATTTGCGCGATATCGTAGTGAGAGATTCGCACGTGACATTGTTAAAGAATCGAGATTTAGAGTTAGAAAAAATTGGAGACTTGCAAGATGAAAATATAAAATAGAGATTATAAGAGAAAAAATACATAAATATACGTCACGCCCGAATTTTTACGTCAGTTTTCGCTGTAATTTATTAGCAAGCCGTCCCAAAGGATAGCAGAAGCAATTAAGTGTTTACGAGTACTAAGGAGACAGAAATTGCCCAACGTGTGACAGTTTAGTATAATAATTCCCCATCTAATTCTCTAATTGCGCATTCACTTTGTTCGCGTCAACGGCCATCGCATTTTGACCTTTTGTCATAATTACGATAAAGACAAAGTAACCCGCTATGCAAAGTGAATTGGATTTTGAAGCAACTGCAAATGTTGATTATACATATGTATATCTATAAATTTCTTCAGTTTTTTATATACAAGATATTTCGAAATAAGTGCGACAAATTTTAGACGATTCCTTGTTTGACAATTAAAGGGTTTTTCAGATAAACATGTATAAACACTTATATCCTTTTCTAAAGAGTTTTCTTCCTTCAAGGGACAGGAAAATTAGATTTTAATTTTTTTCTTGAAAACTTTTGATTTTACGACATACATAAAAGAAATATGAAAGTTTAAATCGAGCTTTTTAACGCATATTTTTAGATGGTCACGCATTCTAGTTCCGTTCTAATAAAAAATTGAATAAGGGTTGTTAGTTTCACCCCTTGTAACGATACGAAAAAATGAATAAATATTCTTTTTACCAGTAAAAAATATCAATAGAATTATTTCATTTTTTTAACTTGTCTAAAATTAAAAAAAAAAAATTTAAAACCTTAACTTTCACTTTCCTCTCCTTTTGAGGAATATAAGGGATATAATAGTATATGAAGAACCTCGCTTAATTTTCGACAAAGAATCGCCTTCTCTAAAGTTTCTCGCGCTTATTGTCGGAACCATCTTGCATATCGATCGATTTTTCTATATATGACTCAATAAAATATTACGGAGCGAAAGAGAATTTGAATAAATATTTCGGAAAAATGAATAAATATTCTTTTTATCAGTAAAAAATATCAATAGAATTATTTCATTTTTTTAACTTGTCTAAAATTAAAAAAAAAAAATTAAAACCTTAACTTTCACTTTCCTCTCCTTTTGAGGATTATAAGGGATATAATAGTATATGAAGAACCTCGCTTAATTTTCGACAAAGAATCGCCTTCTCTAAAGTTATTGTCGGAACCATCTTGTATATCGATCGATTTTTCTATATATGACTCAATAAAATATTACGGAGCATTGAAGAAAGAGGGACGGTTCTTCGTGTCTTCTGACGCGACGGAATAATACGACGAGGAAAAAGTGAATGCAACGCGAATCACGAGATGGCACACGTCTAGACACAATCTGGAAACAAACAAACTTGCCGAGTTATTCCGGACTTATAACGTTAAAGGTTAAGGACGCGGGTTCGATAGCCTGCGAAATATCGTCATGCGACGAATTCGCTCGAGGACGACGAGGCATTATCCTCTCCCTTTCCTCGATTACTTACTGGCTTCTTTTTCGTCAAAGGTGAAAGGAAACCATCGCCGACGACGACGGCATAAACACGCGCATTCTCGACGTTACGCACTTCTAAAATTAAAATCGGCCAGTCATTTGTAACGATCGGTGACGAGAGCTCGCTCGTGTTGCGGCCTTGAGGAAACGGCGCTTTTGCGCAAACTTAAGTCGCCCCAAGTTACCATTTATTGAATATTTCCAAAAGGTAATAATAGATATGTATGTATTAATTATAATTTAGAAAAAAGAACTTATGAATAAATTGATATGCATGTGGGTATTAATATTAATATAATGAAAATTTTAGTACCTATACATATCTTCTTCTCGAAAAAGAATAAAAATAAGTCAAAAAGAAATATAGACAAAAATGAAAATTTTTTGTAACAGAATAGGTATTATTTTTGTTGGAAATTTTTTATTTTAATAAATTGTTTTATTAGGAACTATATGGATTCGAAAGGCCATGTTGTGCCTGGTTAAAGGGAGAGTGCAATTACGAAATCATCAAGGCAAAATTATCTAGCTTTATGTTTCCTTTTCCTCAATACTAGTTCAGAATTTCAAATGATTCTTGTTTTCGATTTCTTTCTTCATATATTTATGTAATGCACATTTTTAATCAATGTTGTTGCCGAGTAAGCTCTTTCTAAATGTTCGTTACGATTTAAATCTTTTTAGTGATTTTTTTTTGTAATTTTTGATAAATTATGATTTCTTTAAATCGAACGATTAAATTATATTTTATTTCTCTAAAAAAAAATTAACAATCAGATTAATTTTTGAGGAAAAATTACATAGACAGAAAGAATGATTTTACAGGACAATATTTTATTAAATTAATTTTAATTTATTAAAAATATTAACTTACAATTAAATATATTCATTTTTATACATAACTCAAAGAGCATTCAGAAATTTATCTACCTTTTCCTTAAATTTTAATCATTTTTATCTGCATCCTTGAAAAAATTAAAGGCACGTGTTAAAAAACATACACCTATCTTACGATCTTATTTGCAATAATTTTTCCCTGATACTGAAAAGGATTTTATATTAGAGGAACCTTTCGATTTCTCTGAATGCGAAAGGACGTGTTTAGTCGCCGCCGATCGGCGTGACGTGACGTCACGTCGCGTCGGGTCGACGGATAATATCCCGTCGCGGAATTCCGCGTGGCGGAATTGAGACAAACTGTGAGACTTGCTCGACGGTCCGTGAACGCAAATCGATTTGGTGGCGACACGTTAATAACAATCGCCAAGCTTGTGCCGCTGCCGAGACTCGGCTTGGCGTGGCGTGGTGGCGATTTGTTAGAGCCGCCGATCTAACGCCAGTTTTCTAACTTTAATGGCCCGTGACGGGGCCCGTGATTACATCCACCTCTCGTGGTTACGCTCGCGCATTTCGTGCGTGGGCATCGTGAGTTCCGTAAAATCGACGCGAGACTATCGATTCGCCGGCAACAGAGGGAAAATCGATCGCGATTTTGAAAGCTCGGCGAGAGCGTTTCGCTTCTTAAGATTATAAATTCGCACGCAAAAGATCTCGATCAAACTCGAATATCTCTTCGACAAAAAATATTGCCCTTATAAAATTTCTATATGAGATTACTTAATTATTATATTAATAATTATAATATTATATAACTTATGTAGAAAATTAATTATATATGTTTAGGTATAATGCATTTTAAGATTTTAATAAGATGCATTTTAAAATATCAATAAGTGAAACTATAATTAACTGCTTTTAGCGAGATTTTACGGTTTGCACTGTACTTATAATTAAAATCACTGCTTATCAGTGGTAATACATTAATGTCATTTCAAGAAGTAGATTATTGTACTTTAATTTGTCTCCTTTTTTCCTCTCTCCCTCATTTCAAATATATAGATACATTTATATAATTATTTAATAAATCAATTTATATAATCACAATTCGGAAAAATACTGATTAAAAAAAAATTAAAAAATATTAAATTATTGAATATAATTTCATTAAAAGTAAAATTAATTGTAGATTTATCTTTAGAACCGCAAAACATACTAATGCATCGTTTCGCTTGTCTGCGATCGAAAGTTGTCGGTGATTGCTGGCGATTTAGAAATGTGCGAGACATTACGTTCGTCCTTGCGTCGTTAACGCGAATATATATACGTATACATATATATATATATATATATATATATATACAAATATATATATTCTATAATTACCAGCTATTATCCGCTTTTTCCTGCAGGCTGAAGACGGTCGGTCCCGCGATTAAATTTGCGCACGCGTGGCAGAAATCTTGCCAAGCTGTGGTAAATTTAATACATAATTGGCAATTTGTTATATTATACTTGCCTCATTGTGATTTTTTTTTATATTTTTTTATAATATTTATATATTATATATTATATTATATTATTTATATATGTAATATTTTTTATCGCTTCTATTTTCAGCTCTGAACGCGCTCAATATTGGAATACACATGTGTGCAATGATGTAATATCTGCGAGATGTAACGCGTTTTCGAGATGAGGAGGATCATGTGACTTTCATAAGATTCAAAATAAGTTTGAAATTGGAAAACTTTCTATCTTTCGCATATTTTAAATAAATTGAGAATATATATGTCTTATTTATATTTTAAATAAATCGGGAATATATATTTTAAATTTTATTTAGATAAATAAATTTTTTAAAATAAATTTATTAATAAATTAATTTATTTTTCAAAAATAAATTTACAATTTATATATAAATTTTATTTTAAATGTATACACATCTTCATCTCCCTCTCAGTTTGACAACTCGCGCGCGGCGGAACGCTGTAAGTTGTAACGTCGATATCGTTTGGAAAAGCGCGCTTACGCGAGAAACGGGTGCGTGCTCGTTTAATGGAAAGTCCGTGATTCTCGCGGCACAGAACCGTCGAGACGTACGCGTGTCCTTGTGTCGTTAACACGATTTGACGTTACTCAACGCGACACGCCGCGCCGACCGTGCGAGAGAGAAAGAGAGAGAATATGCCTACATTATATCTCGGCGATGGATGCCAAGTAAGTCTCTCCGAGTCTTGCAAAACCTCAGCTACACACCTCCGTAAAAAGCCTCTCGCGAAAACGTTTCCTTCGCCTGGAAAAATCCGACGTCGTACCGAGGAAGGTTCGGGTCTATACATATTATTCAATCAGCTGTGTGTCGGCTCTCTTCTTCTCCCCGATTAAAAAAATCGAAAAATCAACACTTCGAAGAGAGAAACGTGCGTACACATTCGTAATTGCGATTGGCAAACAATGTTGTAATTTTTCGAACGGCGAATATAATGGCTCGAACGAATACGTTTGCGAACTGCTAGTGTATTATATTCAGATCGAGATATTTGGTCAATTCAATTTTTGTTTTTCGAGGTGTTATTTTTTTTTCAAGTTTAAACGCCAAGAATATATATGTCGCGAAAAAATAAAATTATCGGTGTACAAAAATTGTACGTGTAAATTTCATGTAAATATGGCATAAACACACATTATGTACACGCAGTTATTTTCACGGCTAAAAATCTAAGATCTTTTAGTTGTGAGTGTTGGTTTTATTATTACATGTTGTGAAAAATCATCGTTTCTTTTTCTTAACATTAGTCAAAGTCGTTTACATAATTTTACATTTTCAATAAAATTTTGATAAATTAGAATTTATTTTTTCACTGAATGATTAAATCATATTTTATTCTTGTAAACGGAGATTTAAAAAAATGATCAACTAATGATGTCTCATGAAAAGCTGTACAAAGATCAAAAAAATAATTTTACAGGACACTAAATTAAATATTAAATTTTATTTAATTAATTTAAATTCAATATTAATTAAATGTTAACACCATTCTTATATGTTCAACATTTTTTTTTTGACACTTATGTATAATTAAACATTTATTTATACATATAATTTTCATATATAATTGAAAGAATTAAAACATTTAATTAAAAGAGAAGTATTCTGCTTAATTGAATCTTAATTTTCCCAGATGTTAATGTTTTCTTGAAGTTTTGAATGCCAAGAATACGTTGCGAGAAAATAAAATCATCGACATAAAAAAAATAAATAAATGAAAAATAAAAGTAAGCAAATGTAAATTTCATGCAAATTTTATGGCACAACATACTATACGCGTGTGTAAGTTATTTTCGCGGATAAAATTCCGAGATCTTTGGTTTGAAATTGTAATTTTCATTCTTGCTCGTCGCGTGAAGAACTACCACACCTACGAAAATCGACCCACCGTAATCAGGCGATGGTACGGGTCGCCTCGCAAAAGTTCACCTTGGGAGAAAAAAGTGTGCAATTAACGGAAGAGGACACGATAATATGCGGGCGCAGACGGAAAGATGTCCGCAATGTGCGACCTTCAATTTACGGCAGTGAATTGCGCAAGGTTGCGTCGCCTGGGCAGGGCGCCAAATTTGCGTTGCCCAATTTTACGAGGAAACTGGGTTGCGTGCGGGCTTTTGAAACGCACGCTCTTTCGGGATACGTGATGACGGTCCCTCTCTCTAGTAGATAGATATTTTTCAAAGTTCTTTCGAGCAAACGATCGTAAAACGACCGCAAAGTATTTCTGGACTTCCGGATCGCGTTGAGCAATCGAGAAGACATCTGACAAACAGTAACGTCACGAAGACATATCGAATATTTTTTAATTATCTATTGTCAATGATGTAAATTGAAAATGTAAGAATGTTGTGAAATATTTATATTTCAAAAAAAATGACATTTATTGATTTTTTCTGTAACAGAAGTCACATTTATCACCATTTATTATCATTCGTGCGATGGTAAAATTATTGTTATCATTTAAAACAACAAATACAAAAAATATTGTATAAAATAATATGTAAAATATGCAAAAATCCTTCTCCTTTTTATAAAAATTAATCCGAAGCAATCCGCAAAAAAGCATATGCAAATGAACAATTAAATAATAACAGACAATACATGACAGTCAAATGACGTTTATTTATTTATACATATATTTATTATTTATTAATTTTTTCGATAAATAGAAATCGCATGTTTCGCACTATTTATTATTATTCTTGTGATGCATATTTATCGCTGTTATCGCGAGGAAAAACAAAGAACCAATGGTGTGCGGATTTTCATTATTATTACAAATAAAATATAATTTAAAAAAAGATACAGAAAAACATGCAACATATATAAAATATGCAAACATTTTCTCCCTTTTATAAAAATTCATCCGAAGCAAATCGAAAATAACATACGCAATAAGCGAGTCAAATGACAAGTCGCGCGACTGCTAAGCCACAAATATTCCGTCGTAAAAAATCTTCATTGAAAAAGGAGATCGGCAATCGCTAAAAATGCTAATCGTATTACAGTATATCCCATATGCATGCGTATTTTTGCGGCGTATATTTATAGGATTAACTTCATTGCCCGGAGAGCAGTGACGGATTGCAGTGTCACACGCGCCGCAGCCAATGAATGAGACGGTGCAAGGACATCGGATTGCAACAAATCGAACGTGCCCCAGACTCTCCGCTCTCTTTCTTTCCCTCCCCCTTCCCACCCCCCGCAATTACGAATTAAAGCGCTCTCGCTGCCGTTTACTCGCGATTCGTATCAAAACTCGGACGTGTTTACGCGAGCCCGGAGAGAAAGGGTGAACGATCGACTTCTCAATATTTTCTTCGATATGTATCGTCTTGTTAATTATTTCAAGAAAGTAATAACTGTGTTTCCTTGTATATTTCTTTTAAGAAAAAATTCCGTCATTTTTACATGCAATTGAAAAAGGTGACTGTATTTAAAAAAAAACAGCTTATTTAAAAAATACATTTATAATTATTTAAATTTAGATCGTTCTATATATATGTCGCCCATTTTAAGTATTGTATTAAAAAAAATCATTCTAGTTTTCTCTGGTGATCAAAGATTGAAACTGGTTTAATTTTATTGAATAGAATTTTTCATCTTTTTATATAACACATGTTAGGGTTGTTTCGTCAAAATTATTTTATATAAAAATATATATATATATATATAAAATGAAAAGGCGTAGAAGAAGCGGCTGAATTCTCAAAATCTATCTTATTAGTACCGTGAGAAATATGGAGCACTTGTCCTTTATATCCCTCATGTTGATTGAAATGACTGGTATTAATTACCTGTCTTGCGTTACGCGACTTTGCCACACGCTGCTCCAAACTGCCACGGATATTTGTCTTGAGTGCGCACATTATTTGTTTCCGCGACGAGAGAAGCGGTTTGCGAGCTCTGTCAGCAGAGGAGAACGATGACTCTACGGAACTTGGAGCTAATAACATTTGCACGCTTCGAACGTATGAAGGAAAAATCCCAGAGAGCGAACACACGGAATAATTCTGTAGAATGACGTAGTAAAGTATGATAAATTCATAAAAAAATGTTGACACAATTATAATTGCATAAATGAAGGTGAAACAAAAATTAAAAAACTTGCTCGAAATAAGTATAACATATCGAAAAGATATGAGAGAATTGTACACTGTAAAATTCCTCTTAATAGATATTTTTAAGTGTTTCTATATAGAACATCCTTCAAGGCTATGAATATATTCTTTGTTAATAACAAACGGTCGTATGTTTTTTTTATGTAGACCGTTCATCGGGCTTTATATAGCTACATTATTGCAACAACGTATATGGTTATATAATACTAAAGTTTAGAGTGCGATATTTGTCACTGAACGCTCTTGGTTTATCAGAATCTTTTCGGCGCCTCTTCCAATGGGAATACACTTTTTTGAGTGCAAGCTTCGATAATGAAACAATTACACGTCGTTAGTCTACGATAACCTTTGTAATGTGCACGTAAATCGAAACCTTTAATCACCTTCTGCGAGAAAGGATAAAATTTGCAGATAATGCCTGCTCTTTCGAAGCCACGACGGCCCGGAACCACGCTATGTCAGCTCCTCGTGTTATCGCGAGGAGATTGTGCCACCGATCGCCTACGAATCAATCCTGCGATCGACGACCGGTAAACGGAAGGTGTATACACGCCGACTGGCTAGTTAAGTATGCGACGTGACATGGTTGGCGGTTTGGTATTTAGGAAAGGCCAGCCGACCAATGTCACAACCCGTTTGAAAGGCGCTAGAATCTGTAAAGCGCAGGTGAACAGAGGAAGGGAAGCAATTGATTCTCCCGATCTCTCTCTCTCTCCATGACAAAAGGTTGACGATTGATTGCAATAGGTACGCGTGACTGACTGCTTGCTCTACAATGAAGGTCTCGTAAATCTCGATCTCGTAAGAAAACCATCGGCGACCGTGATACCTTTTTCCCGAAGAGAACGCAAACCCAATCCTCGATTTGCCTCTCCTATCTACATCCTTTCATTTCCCTATTAGTGAAACCGAATGTACAAACAGGCTGATGTGTTAATATATGTACTTTCTTCAATTTTAATCTTACATGTATTTATGTTTGCATATTTATGTATGTACCAAGAGACTTTCTGCTTCGGAGGCAAATTTATAATCGAACGTGGTATCGTTTTCTCGTTGTAAGTTATACGCAAACAACATAACTGACCCTACCCACGATCATGAAATGAAGCACTTTTGCGGCGAGAAGGAGACCAGC